GATAAAACCAATGTAATTCTTTGCGTGTGCATCCAACGGGCCCATTGTAAAGTTTCCATTGAAACAACTGGATGCCATATTTGTCCAAACTGCGGACAGGCAGCATCGCTATAAAGTCATAAAGATCCATACTGACTTTTTTTTCTTTTTATATTAATCCCTTATTAGAAAGAAACGTTTTACTTTGGATCTATAATTTACCTAAGCTGAAGAGTATTAGGCACAGGGTGAGCCGATAAATTAAATACAGGTATTCCACTTCTAATAGTATCTGGTATATTGTACCAACTCCAACCGGATCCAGGAAACCAACTGAAGTGTGCCAACATATTGTCACTTTCGGTTAATGATTTTATGGCTATCCAAAAGCGTGACACAACACCCTGACGATATTGCGATTTGAGTGGTTTTTTAGATAAACAGGTTATGTCATGCAGAAATTCATAAGGCGCTAAAACAAAGGTCGTTCGGCAAAACAATTAAGAATTCAAGATAAATGACAATTATCGCATTTTAATATATCTCACCTTCTATGGTAATTGTATATTGTATTGTATTAGAAACCGATAAGGACTTAGAAGACCAAGGACACGTTACCAAGTGTTCCAAAAAGACATTGCTCTTCCATAAAAGAACGAAACATATTTCAAGAGTGTCATCCCTTATTATTGCTCTCTTTATTAAATATCCCTCGCGCAGGCGACAACACAATAAACTGCTTAACGTGCACGTAACTTGATCGTCAATCTGCTTCTTTCTAAGAAGATGAACTGGTTTGTGACCATAAAAAAATGTATTATTAGAATGCCATTTGGTCTGTTTAGTTGAGGTAATGGAACTTAATGTGTCACGATATAATTGCCAACAAAGGAAATTTTTATGATACATATTTATATCCTCTCCATGTTCAGGTACCTAATAATTTAGAAGAACGTCATTTAAATCTTGATTATATATTGTACGATATGAAGGATAGTAAAGAGAAAGAAAATTTACATACAATTTGTGGCATATATGTCATGTAACTCCCTAAAGTTGCTGCTGCAAGGAAACACAAGAGATCCTGATAAGGTATTAATCCATCCGCACAATGCGGATGATATACACTACCAACATGTACAAAACTACACGCAATAGTTGTCGCACGCAATTGTTGCATAATTGAATCTAACACATGAACGTCAGTTGTGCTAACTATCCCGTCAGAGATAATAATCAGATCTGTAAGAATCATTTAATTATCAAAAAAGAAAAAAGGAATTATTCATATTATTATTCCAGGAAAATTATTGTTTATTAACTTACGCGCACAGCTATGTTCTGGTAACAAAGTAAGAGCTAACATTCCATATCGCAGCATGTTAATGAAGTTAGCTTCTGGTAAAATCATGGCAGTATTGCCGAGACAACTGTTATTTTTATTATAATAACTAGTACCATCTTCAAACAGGCCTCCAACTAAACGCTCATTTTCTGCTTTCAAAGTTTCCAATTGTTGATTCGCGATGGCAGCTACAAATGATACCTTTTCTTCCAACAAATTTAATTGCTTTTCCAAATGTTGAATTAAATGATTAACATTATTGGCAGTAAGCAGCCATCCTTGAATTAATACTTGTTGCGACGGGCTTGTAAGAAATGGAGTATGAGCTATCACTGTCACAAAAATCTCTGGTTGTAATATACGTTTACTTCCTGGAATAGTAAACTGCAGATATGGGGAAAATAGATTAAATTAAAGTAAATTTTTGTTAAACATGAAAAATATATAATCATAATTACCGGCTTAGTTATTCCCTCAAGACATCTTTTTGTAGCTAAATATACCTCATCTATAACAATTTCTCCATGCTGTATATCCTACGATAAATTATTTATATTATTAAAATTAATAAAATTATTTGAACGTTTGAAGAAAATCGATATAAAAATATTACTTACAACAGTACCAAGCGATGGACTTAGGTCTAAACTAAAAACCATTCTGTATTTATGCGCTAGAAATATTATCGAAGTAGTCCATAAAACTTTATATAGAAATTGATGACTAGTATCGGATGACCATGATCCAGGTGAACCATTTGGTAATACGGATACAATTTCTAACTCTGGTGCATCCTCATAATTTGTACTAGGCTGTTGAATTTCTATTAGACAATCTAAATGCTCTAACATCCATTGGGCTCTCACATTACGAGATATAGGAAATCCTCTTTTCATTAACAAAAACACAGTATCGGCTTCCAATACAGTTTTCTCCTAACGACATAATAAAATTTTATCAAACAAATTAGTCACCACAAAATACAAGTAACATTACATCTGAACGTGTTTACCTCGTTCTTTATTTCAGCCATATCATCTGCTCGCTTGAATTTTCAATTGTGAGCCTAACATTGAAGTAAATTAATTTCATTGCATTTTATTGCATAAAAGTTAATATATGTATATCATCTTGATAATAAAGAATGCATCACTATGAATTGGCAAAACTTTGTTT